TATGACATTCTGTTATTATCCTCACTGAAGATGATCAAATATGACATTCTGTTATAAACCTCACTGAAGATGATCAAATATGATATTAGGGGTGACTATTGAGGGAGAAATAACTATTGCGATAGCGATAGTCTATTGGGACCAACTATTGCAATAGTATTTTCTCCTTGAATTGTCTCAAAGTTATTTCCCGAATGAATGTATAGTTTATATGAAATAAAAGCAAGCTGAAGTAGTCTCTGTCTCTTTTGATAACTGACAAAAAACTTGAAACCCAGATCAAATTTGCTAAGAGGTAACAGGGGTGGATGACACTAAATCAAAGTGAATGAATCTCGTACTTCCTGTATTTTGTGCTGTGCATTGATCAACGGAAGTCAATTACTAAACTATTGACAGCCACACATACTATCAAATATGATATACTGCTATTATCCTCACTGGAAATGATCAAATATGATATTGTTATTATCCTCACTGGAAATGATCAAATATGATACACTGTTGTCATCGTCCCTGGAGATTATTAAACATGATACACTGTTACTGCTATTATCCTCACTGTAAATGATCAAATATGATACACTGTTGTCATCGTCCCTGGAGATTATTAAACATGATACACTGTTACTGCTATTATCCTCACTGTAAATGATCAAATATGATACACTGTTGTCATCGTCCCTGGAGATTATTAAACAGGGCCCTGTTCCTCAAAGCGATCGTAGCGCTAAGATGATCGTAACTCCCATACTTTAACATAGACTTACGACAGTCGTAGCGCTACGATCGCTTTGAGGAACGGGGCCCTGGATACACTGTTACTGTTATTCTCCTCACTGGAAATGATCAAATATGATATTCTATTATTTTCCTCACTGGAGATTATTAAACTTGATATACTGTTATTATTATCATTGGAGATTATCAAATATGACATATTCACAGAATCACTGGTGATTATCCTGCATGATATGAGCTGATATTATAAATGGTGTATACATGTATATCATACAGCCAGGCATGAGAACCTGTACACTGGCTGTATCCATAAACCTGATTCACATGACCGGGATCAGCAGTCACACATGACCTATATTACGATGACCTGGAGTTCGGCAGGACGTACACATTGTAACATGGCATGAGGCAGTGTCCCAGGGTGAGTGAGGATAAGCCAGTTTTGCCTCCGGGGGTGGAATGTGATCCCGTAACTTACCCACCTGCTGTTACCATGCTTACATCCTCTCCAACTATAGAAGTGTTATCACATGCCATTATCACACAGTTTAGCTGCAACCCATCATGAACAGGACGTTTGCTAGTTTATAAGTAAGGTAATGACTGACAAGGTGAGAGATGAAATGGGGCTTAATGTTTTGCTCAAGACAATTCAATTCAATAGCCATTAATCTGTCATTACCTGAATAAGTCGATATTCCCGCCCATGTCTGCAGCAAATATTAGCAAACAATTCCCAACTTAGAATAAATATTTCCCAAGTCATGTTGTTTCTTTTATGACTAAATAAAAGTGGCAAAAGCCCTTTCATATTAAGGAGATCAATGTATGTTTCACCTTATGTCACAATGATTTGTCTAATGAATCACTATCATACACAACCTGTTTGCAACTGCCATGTGTGCCCTCCCTTGTCTGTGAGTGAGTGAGTGAGTGAGTGAGTTATTTTTACGCCGCGCTCAGCAATATTCCAGCTACATGGCAGCGGTCTGTAAATAATCGAGTCTGGACCAGACAATCCAGTGATCAACAGCATGAACATCGATCTGTGCAATTGGGAACCGATGACATGTGTCAACCAAGTCAGCGAGCCTGACCACCCGATCCCGTTAGTCGCACCGTTAGTCTTACGACAAGCATGGGTTACTGAAGGTACATTCTAACCCGGACCTTCACGGGTTACTGAAGGTTCATTCTAACCCAGGCCTTCACGGGTTACTGAAGGTACATTCTAACCCAGGCCTTCACGGGTTACTGAAGGTACGTTCTAACCCAGGCCTTCACGGGTTACTGAAGGTTCATTCTAACCTGGACCTTAACGGGTATCCTCGTCTGTAACTATGACGGGACAGGTGTCATGTACGGTCATGATATTTGATCATTGGATTAGTAATCCTGAGTGCTAAGATTCAGGACATGACTTTGAATCTGATTGTGATAAGCATCCAGTATGCAACAAAAGAACACACACTTTACATTTGTATACGTGGGCATTTAATTCAGCTATAGAAGTTAATGGCCTGGAGAGCTTCAGGCTGTTTTGTGACAGATGAACGGATTCTTATGGAGTGGGGCAAGAGTTCACAATGACTAGTTTAACTACGTCCTCCAAATGACTGTACATTTAGCAGGAACAGCAAGGTCCTCATAATGATCCTACATTAAGCAGGAACAATGAGGTCCTCATAATGATCCTACATTTAGCAGGAACAGCGAGGTCCTCATAATGATCCTACATTAAGCAGGAACAATGTCCTCATAATGATCCTACATTTAGCAGGAACAGCGAGGTCCTCATAATGATCCTACATTAAGCAGGAACAATGACCTCATAATGATCCCCCTAGCAGGAACAGTGAGGTCCTCATAATGAGGAACAGCGAGGGTCCTCATAATGATCCTACATTTAGCAGGAACAGGGTTCTCATAATGATCTTACATTAAGCAGGAACAATGAGGTCCTCATAATGATCCTACATTTAGCAGAACAGAACCTCAGCTGATGATCCTTTAGCAGGAACAGCTGAATGATCCTACATTTTAGGAACAGCAAGGTCCTCATAATGATCCTACATTTAGCAGGAACAGCTTAGGTCATAATGATCCTACATTTAGCAGGAACAGCTGTAGGTCCTCATAATGATCCTACATTTAGCAGGAACAGCGAGGTCCTCATAATGATCCTACATTTAGCAGGGTCCTCATAATGATCCTACATTTAGCAGGAACAGTGAGGTCCTCATAATGATCCTACATTTAGCAGGAACAGCGAGGTCCTCATAATGATCCTACATTTAGCAGGAACAGGGTCCTCATAATGATCCTCATAATGATCCACATTTAGCAGGAACAGCCCCTCATAATGATCCTACATTTAGCAGGAACAGCGAGGTCCTCATAATGATCCTACATTTAGCAGGGAACAATGAGGTCCTCATAATGATCCTCCCTACAATGATCCCTCATAATGATCCTACATTTGCAGGAACAGCTGGGGTCCTCATAATGATCCTACATTTAGCAGGAACAGTCCTCATAATGATCCTACATTTAGCAGGGTCCTCATAATGATCCTACATTTAGCAGGAACAGCGAGGTCCTCATAATGATCCTACATTTAGCAGGAACAGTGAGGTCCTCATAATGATCCTACATTTAGCAGGAACAGCGAGGATCCTACATTTAGCAGGAACAGCAGAGGTCCTCATAATGATCCTACATTTAGCAGGAACAGCGAGGTCCTCATAATGATCCTACATTTAGCAGGAACAGCGAGGTCCTCCTCATAATGATCCTACATTTAGCAGGAACAGCCTGTAGATTCCTACATTAGAGGTCCTCATAATGATCCTACATTTAGGGAACAGCAGAGGTCCTCATAATGATCCTACATTAGCAGGAACAACAGAGGTCCTCATAATGATCCTACATTTAGCAGGAACAGCGAGGTCCATAATGATCCTACATTAATCCTCATAATGATCCTACATTTAGCAGGAACAGCGAGGTCCTCATAATGATCCTACATTAGCAGGAACAGCGAGGTCCTCATAATGATCCTACATTTAGCAGGAACAGCGAGGTCCTCATAATGATCCTACATTTAGCAGGAACAGAGGTCCTCATAATGATCCTACATTTAGCAGGAACAGCGAGGTCCTCATAATGATCCTACATTAGCAGGATCCTACACAGCTTAGGTCCTCATGATGAGCAGGAACAGCGAGGTCCTCATAATGATCCTACATTTAGCAGGAACAGCGAGGTCCTCATAATGATCCTACATTAGCAGGAACAGCGAGGTCCTCATAATGATCCTACATTTAGCAGGAACGAGGTCCACAGCAGGAACAGTGAGGTCCTCATAATGATCCTACATTTACATTAGGGAACAGCGAGGTCCTCATAATGATCCTACATTAGCAGGAACAGCCAGGTCCTCATAATGATCCTACATTTAGAGGAGTGAGGTCCTCATAATGATCCTACATTTAGCTGGTCCCTATAATGATCCCTACATTTAGTCCTCATAATGATCCTTAGGAACAAGGTCCTCATAATGATCCTACATTAAGGGAAAGCGAGGCTCATAATGATCCTACATTTAGCAGGAACAGCGAGGTCCTCATAATGATCCTACATTTAGTCCTCATAATGATCCTACATTAGCAGGAACAGTGCAATGATGTCATTAGCCTAAATAACAGACATGCCACACGCATTACAACACCTTGTTAATCAGCTAGTAACACTAGCATGCAATTGTTTCTGAGGATGTGAGTGTGTGTTGCTGGGGAGAGATGCATGACAGATCCAGGTCAGATGGCCAGTTCACGTTACACTACAACAGCTACTGCCTCTATACAAACACAGTCCGGACATCCCACCTGATGAAAAAACACACCTGCATGCCTTCACATTATACAGGTAATGGGTTGGGCGTCTGAAAGGTCATTTTGTTTGCATTCACCAAACACTGAGCTGCTGTTTTAGATTAAATTTAAATGAATCTTTGGCTGTGTGGTCTTGATGCACAGTAAATTGTCCCACTGTTACATTTAGAAATGTGTCTATTCCAGAAAGTAGAGATGAACTCTACACAGCACAATTACTGTTATGTAAACATCACCAAAGCAGAAAACACATTTTCATATTGATGAAAAACATGCATGCACACATTTAAGCCTTATCAACATACTGTATATTAGTGAAACACTTTGTATAAAACATTATATAAACTAAATCAGAGCATTCCTTACCGTCAGAGCTGCGTCGTTTATAGGTTTCTCAAACAGTCCCTCCATCTGGTCAACAAGCATATCCCAACACTTGCTGGACAGACCAATCAGTATACCATAACAGAAAATTTTCCACAATATCAGCTTTTTACTGGGTACACTTGTATGTCCATTGGTAGAACCATTGGTGCCGTTCTTTGTCCACAGTGGTACATCCACAGCCTTCTTCTCAAAGTATTTGAACAGGTAGAAAAGCGCACCTGTAGATAATGCAAAGCCACCAATAGTGTCACACAATAGATCAATGTAGTATCCCGAACTGTTTCTGTGGGAATGGTAGGCGAAGTCTTTGGCTCTGCTTCGGAAGACAACGCCGTCAAGACCATCTAACCATGTTCTGAATTCAAATAATATCAAGCCAAACCGACGGTCCCTGATACATTCGGACGCTATAAACTTCCCTGCAATGAGTGCAATGATCACATGGGAAAAGCTAATCATATTTGCTGTTACAAAGAAAAAGACTGTACTAAATCCTGTCACTTGATTGAATATTTCTGAAGTTGGCTTAATAACATAGTGACTCGTGGGATCAGTCATGATCAACTTCATAGTCAGAGGATAGAAGGGGGAGTAGGCGTGACCTGGGAGGGTCTGGGGAACTGACAGCACTGTGTCTTGGAGGACAGTGTACAATATTATATCCATGATGATGTAAAACACCGTTATGATAGTCCCTAGACATATTAACACATTCTTCTCCTCGCGGAAGATCTGAAATGAACAAAAAGGCACCATCGTTTCTGTCACAACCACCGGAAGGAATCTGAAGACCGGAAGCTCTTTGGAAGTTAAAACCTTGTAACCTTGTATTCGGCCATGTTGTGACTCCGACAGCATCAGCAGCACTTCGCATCACATGGAGGCAGGGTGACCTAGCTGAATCTAGAGCACCTGCCTACTACATTCCCGCTCAGTTTCACGCACACAACACCATGGCCTAAGATTTACATCCACACTCCCACTATGATCCACGGACACCTGCACTTGTGAGAGACAGTGTTGATGGAAGACTAGGGGATTCCTCCTGTTTAAATTCCGAAGTGTTTATTTTTAGCTTCTCTAAAATACGGAGCGTGTGACCTCCCAGGTTGCCGGTCACCGTAAGCGAACGCTGATAGCAGTATCGCAAAAGGAAATGCCGTCCGTGTGTAGTCTGTGGACCAAGACTCAATTCACTGAATACCCTGTGTTCTTCTCTCGGGCAAGGACGTCTGCTGTGTCTGCATTACAATACACGCGGGAAAGAGGAATTGAAAACCACAAACAAGCACCCGGTCTTGTAAATAATGTCCTCTCATAATGAAGATTATTTGATTATTTGTAAAGATCGTTGATATCACGCAAGTGGACCACCTTTCGTGATAATGTCAGTGACACCGCCTCAGACACCTCTATCTGTACCTTATGTTCGAGGGTAGACCACTCACTGTCGAGACGAGGTTTCCGGCTCAAACGTGACACAAACAATATAACACACTCCGGAATGTACTCCAATAGAACACAGTATCGTGTCCATGTGCCCAGCAGTAAGGCATGCTACTACTGAGAGATTCAATGTACACCCGCCGCTTGGACCTTTCGCTGCAGTACTGATCACCTCAACTGGGTGCGTTGTGATAGGTCCGGTATTGCGGTTGGTGCGGGGCTAACACAACTGATACAACCGGTCCCGTGACTCATGGCACTGTGGCTGGGGGCGTTTCAGGTCGACTGGTATCAGGTAAAAGAAGTGACGCGGAGCAGTTGAATTAGAAGTCGCAGAAACATTTACGCGTAATGTTGCTACTTATAAGAGGACACCTTCCGTACACAAACAGAGGTTTTAAAGTAAATAATAACATGAAAACATTTGTGTTATAGAAACAAACGAGTATGTTTCAAAACTGAACATTATTATATATCCTCTTAGTGACCCTGTATGATGTGGCACGCGTTTGTGGTTTCTCATTTAGCTGTTTACACGTACTAAAACAAAGGTGAGTGTTTGTTTATTTACCAGACAAACGGACACGTTTTAATTGATGCATTTTACAGAAACTGCGACAGAAATATTGAAGCACGTGCTTCGTGGAAATAATCAGGAATGTGAAACGTATGTACAGACGGAGGAAGAATAGCACGGAAAGTCGCGTAATGAGGTGATTTTAGTTTTCACTTTAAGTTTTGAATACTTTCACTGCGGGACAATATGGCCCACGTTACAAATATCCATATGACTGAAGTGAGATTGAATCCGGTCCCCGCGTAGTTATGTCCGGCCAGATAAGATTCAATAGTTTTACTTCCGTAACACATTAGTGGAGAATTCTTGGTCATCATACTCAAACGTCAGTTCAGCCAAACATACGTACAACGTTACAAGACAAGGGAGGAGTTCCTGTCGTCATACTGATGTAAGGACAAAACAAAACACGAACCCCCACCCCCAACACACAGTGACACACACACACACACACACTTTAAATATAGATATGGTATTATTCCGCCAATAACCCTGTCAAATCTTTGAAAAATAAAGTGTTACAGGATTTACTACAAAGAAGATACCTGTATGGTGAGTGTACTACACCCAGTGTTATTGTATTCGCTTAAGATATTCTTTTGTCACAATATGCACTGTCGGCCACTGTGTTATGTATTTATGCTGAAAGAAACCCGAAACCAATGTTAGCCTCTACCATACTGACAGAGAGCCATTGTTAGGTTCAGTAAGACATAGTTGATGGAAATGTCACACACATGTGAGGAAACAGATAAGCATAAAATTTGAGTTATATAAATTAGCATAGATTGCACAACACATGTATTCAATATGCTGTGACTCGCATAGTCCCTGGTATTCTGTGAACTTATGGCACACTTTTATCAATGGGTTCGCAGTATGTTTAAGAGTCTTCAACGAACAGGTGAATAACGTAGTTTAAATATTTTGATTCATCAGTCGGGCGTCATGGGACTAATGACAAAAGACTTGTAGATTTATCGAATTCAATAAAAAGAAATAACAAGAGATGAATAAAGTAGTTTAACATAGTTTGATTTATCAGTCGGGCGTCATGGGAATAATGACTAAAGACTTGTAGGTTGAACGAATTCAATAAAATAAGCCCAACTCTTATGTTGATCAAAATAAAGATTTGACAAACTCGATGAAACCGCTGAAATACGAACCCCAGTCTGGAAACCTAACATAAATACAAACCTCGCTTATCTGGACACTTACGTTTTTCCAAAATATTGTCCAGATAAACGAATGTCTGAAGAATGTCCATATATCTGAAGCCATTGTAAGCTACTTTCTCCTATAACTCTACGGACGTCAAAAACTTCTTTTAAATAATGAAAATGATTGTTGAAGTATTATACCCAGTAAACCAGATCACGTTAGCGAATTCGTGTGAATGACAGGCGATAACATACGTGGTCAGTGAAGATGTTAAATTTGCGATAAGACGTAATTAGACATAACGATTTGTCATCTGCGCAGACATGTTCCTCGACCAGGGCTAACTGGAACCGGCGCTATGGTGAACGTACATTAATCCCGGGGTAGTGATCTGATTTAGCACAACAATCAGTGTGTTTAAAAGACGTGTCTTATGTTGAAATCACGGAATTGCATAAAATGATGGGAAAATGACAAGTAGCGTATAGGTGTAGTTTAGGAAATGACATCAAGCTTTGTTAGAACACTGAAGACTTTACACGCGCTCCAGATGTAGGACATGCATAATTTAGGCAGGTGTACGGTGAAGGCGACTAAATCCGCCAGCAGATAAAAAAACGTCGGCCCTCTTGTCGTTACTGCTTGCCTGTAGGCACTGTGGTAAGTGTTTATACATGCAGCAATGTGTTGTAAGAGGCAAACACATCGGTCACTGTTTTGTGTGGACCCCAGACCTCGTGGTCACCACGGTCAAGGCTGCTTCAGTTGTGTAACACTTGGCTTTAGGCTCTTTAACGCCAATTAACGTACAAAGTAGATTACGTCACAACAAGGCCTGTGTAGATTGTAGCCATGGGGGTTTTGTCATAACGCCTTCAGTTCTAGTCTGTCTCACAGTCCCTGAACCATATTATTTTCCCTACTGCCTAGCCCTCCCTGTAAATGAACCAAGTCTAGATTTCACCAGGTTATGTCTCCCACCTCACCGGGGCTCTATTTCAAATTAGAATAATTAATTTGTGTCTATCAAAATTATATATTATCAGAGACTAAGCGTTAGTTTGCTTCAGTTCTAAGCGAAGAGGATCAGTTCGCCGGCACACATGTCGAGTTGCTCTGTCGTCCTTTTGACGTCATGTTTTCCGGTCCATTTGACTGGATTCGTGTCTACCATGAAAGTGCATACTGCGTGAAACAGCAACAGAACTAGTTTAGTCCATCATGTTGTGTCGGTAGTGTGCCGAGGCGATGGGGTAGCCCAGTGGTTAAAGCGTTCGCTCTTCACGCCGAAGACCCGGGTTTCATTGCTCACATTAATGTATGAAGCCCATTTCGGGTGTCTCCAGCCGCGATATTGCTGGATTATTGCCAAAAGCGGCGTAAAATTAAAATCACTTAGTCATTCACTTATGTTCTCTACATGTCGTTGGGTACAATGTGTGAAGCCCATTTCTGGTGTCCCCGCCGTGATGTTGCTGGAATATTGCTAAAAGCGTTGTAAAACCAAACTCAGTCAGTCAGTTTACATGTCGTACAGATTGTCTGTACTATCATATTATTCATATTATCAACTCGAATCTCTAGATCCCTTCGAGTTTAACACACGCTCTATAATTTCCGCCATATTTATAAAATGAATTGTGTCAGGGCTATCGTGTTTCATACTGACTCGAAATGGCGGCACATCAGGCGATGCCACACTGAAATCTCGTTTAGAAGGAACCTGAAAGGTGGAAAACCCTGTGAGGTTAATATGTACACACTCCATACAGTTAACCTTACGTTATATGTGATCGTTATCAACGTACGTTTCCCTGTTCCCTACAGCATGTTACAGAGTAAACGTAGCATGATTAGTAGAATAGCAGCCACGTGGTTGTAGACACACCAATGGCTAATCCGTCGTTAATCCCCTGATTAGCGATAATTAACAGACAATTACATGTGATCATTCAACTCCACTGTCTCACAACTGGGAATCTCACAATGTGATACTAATTATCCTGTTAATCTCTAATGCACGAACGACGTGATACAAAGTTCATTCGTCAGCGTTACGTGGGAATAAACATACAGATTTGTGGACAAATATTAATTATGATTTGTGTCTCATATCAACGTGCAGATGTGTAACGATGCAGAAAGTGGTCGAGGTAGATGAGTCGGTCGATATTGGTAAGCTGGAAACCGTAACCCGTTTCCGGGTCTCTTCCTCTTCTACTTAACACGGCTTCACGTGCGAGCATCTGCCTCAAGGTCGCGGACAATGTTCAAGAATTGTGACCGATTTTAATTTTGCGCTTTATTAACAATATTCTAGCAATGTCACAGCGGGGGACACCAGAAATGGGCTTCACACATTGTACCCATGTACCCGGGTCTTCGGGGTAACAAGCGAACACCCAGTGCATCTGGCGTCGCACACAGAAAGTAGGCCTTGCTTCAGAGTACAAGTCAGACAACAATGTGAAAAGACTAGTGCGTCGAGCTGCAGCTCTACCTTTAGTGCCTCTGGATAAAGTTGAAGATGTCTGGCTTGATGCCATTGCAGACGCACCACTAGGTGAAAAGGCGACACAGCTGATGGATTACGTTACTACCACCTGGGTAGAAGGTCCATGGACACTGCCAACTTGGAATCATTTTGAAAATGATGGACACAGAACTAACAATAATTTGGAAGGTTGGCACAACAAAATCAACAAGTATGCCATGAAGACACATCCCAATGTATTTGAGGTTGTGCGAATGCTACAAAAAGAACAGTCATCTACTGAAGTAAAAATTCAGCAGATCCAAGGACAGCAGAGAGATCCCGTCCGTAGACGTCGCTACCGAATCATCGACGCTAGGATTCGATCCTTGAAGGCCGACCTTCTTGCCGACAGACTTACCGACTTGAATTACACAGACCATGTGTCAGAGCTGCTTCATCTTGGCTGAACATTCAGATTACTTTAGTGCAGATATAAAGGTGTTTTGGCAAGAAGAAATAACTGGACTCATCTTTTATATATTTATTACTTATACACCTGCAGAAATTACTTATTTATATAAAACACACACACAAATATATTGTGTGAGCTTTATGAAATATATGAACAAATATGTTATATTGTGTGACATATGCTACATGCATGATACATGCATGTTGTTATATTGACTGAATAAATATATTGTCTACTATATATATCACACTGTTTTAATTGGTTTGTTAATTCGAGAACACTGGGAGTGAAGTCACTCATGTAGAACATCACCTCCCTTTTCCCGGACTGTCGACAAGTATTTTGGACGGATTATTTCTTAACTTCTTTGAGTGGCATTTTAGAAGTTGGGAAGTACAATATAGAACAAACTTTATGGATAACAACTTCTTTTTATTCGTGAGTGCGACGTTTCGATACAGATTCTTGTACCGTTGTCAAGCATAATGAGACATGAAGAGGGGGGGAAGTGTTTATATACTGGATGTGACAAACAACCCAAAATGTGTCATCTACAAAATAAACTGTGATTGTGGGCAGAGCTACATAGGCGAAACTTCCCGACCCATCAACACCCGAGTGAAAGAACATCAGACCTCTGTTACCAATTCCGACAGCAAATCAGCCATTTCCGACCACATCAAAGCAAGCCCCAATCATCAAATAGAGTGGTCTGACATCACCATTCTCTCTAACAAACAAACAGACTTCACTAAACGCAAGCTCACCGAAGCCATCCACATCAAACGCCAAAAGCCCACCATCAACCGAGACCAAGGATACTTCATTCCATCCGCTTATGATGCACTCATCCACCAAGCCCAATCCACTGTATAAACTCACTGCTGTATAAACATGTCATTATCATTTGTACATCATTGGCTTCTACGCCTGTCCTTTGTCTACTCTCTGGCTTCATCAGCCTACTGCCTAGCCAATTATGTTAATTATGTTGTTTTCTTTGTCACATTGTCACATCCAGTATATATACACTTCCCCCCTCTTCATGTCTCATTATGCTTGACAACGGTACAAGAATCTGTATCGAAACGTCGCACTCACGAATAAAAAGAAGTTGATATCCATAAAGTTTGTTCTATATTGGATTATTTCTTGTTGTCGACAGTCCGGGCATAAACCGTAACAACTAGGCTACCCGCCGCCCTATA